ATTTCCAAGGATCCACTTCCTATTGAGACGTCGTGGGAGCTCTATGTGATGTTGGGTCTTATTGTGGTGGCTGTTATAGCTTGCTGGGAGTGTGGATGGAATATGTGGTATACTCTTACAGGGCAGGAGACACCAGCCCAAATGCGTAGATCGAGAAGGCTGAAGAAGATGAAAGATGCAATTGAGGAGGAGATTCAGAGCCAAACAGCATCAAGGCTGGCATCTATGCCAATGGCTTCCTCCTCTACCGGACCTACGGAATCTTCTTCAAGCGGATCTACAGCATCAGCATCAATGCCAATGCAAGCGTCATCGTCATCTACTACAAGTATGCGGGTTGGTGCGACCGAGCAATCCAGGTTGCACTCTATAAGGTCTATGGCCCTTGCCAGGGGTAAGACCATCTATAAAGATGATCAGAAGGACAAGGCTTGCCAAACAGAAGCATGGCAGATTCCTTCCCCAAGACCGTTAATTCAATATGTGGATCGGGAAGTGCCGGTGCCTATCGCGGAGGCTTCAGAGTGGACCAGGCCTCTATGGGTTTCCGAGCATGGAGAACATTTTCATACGCTGGACCATTGTTGGGGATTGCGCAACAGCAAGCACAAGAGAAGGTTGCTGTACTGTTCGTTGTGTAGAGACAACTTCGGGCGGTCGCGTTACCCCGATCGTGGATAGTCAGTGCTCGCACCTATCAAAGGATAGGAATACGAGCAAGGAGGAGTGATGAAGTGTGAACGAACCGCTCCTCGTTTTTGGCTAGAAGCCCATGCATGCACAAGCTATTGTAAAGATTCAGAATGGCCAACAGCCTTTACCTAGTGCAAAGCACGGGCAACCGCATGCCTTAGGGCAACAGCACAGGCCTTAGGGCATCACAGTACAGAGCCAAACACGGCTGGACATTCTTGTGGTGTGAAAATTCGTAGTGCGCTTCATTCATGGCTGCCCCTGCATCCGACCCTGCCAGTTTACATCAGCACCTAAACCCTAGACCCTTTAAGCCCTACACCCTAAACCCTAAGCCCTTTAAGCCGCAAACCCCATACCCTCCACCAGAAACCCTAAACCCTAAACCCCAATCCCTAAACCCTTTAAACCCTATTCCGTTAAAACCCTATACCCGTCACCCTAAACCCTAAACCCTAAACCCTATCATAGCTTGCAGCCATGTCTCAGGTCTTCCTCGAGCGCTTCACCGCGCTGCTCTCGGAGGACTTGCCAAGCCAACCCGAGGGCGAGTTCAGCATTTAGGGTTTAAGGTTTAGGGTTTAGGGTGTAGGGTTTAGGGTTTGAGGTTTAGGGTTTAGGGTGTAGGGTTTAGGGTTTGAGGTTTAGGATTTGCGGTTTAAGGCTTAGGAGTCAGGGGTTTGGGGTTAAGGTGATTTGGCTTTCAACCCTACAGTTCTTCAGATTTGGAGGCTTCTGGTTTCGGTTAGCATAGGCTCCATGACTGAAGGTTTGAAAGTCTGGAAGTCTTGGGGTGTAGGGCTTATAAGTGCTGCGGGCTTACCGGGATCGCGCAGTATCTGGCTTCTACAGGGTTTTTTTTAGGGCTTCATGGGTTGCGAGGGATTTTGGGATATCGGTTGAGGGTGTTCGGAACACTCCCACCCTTGGGCATTCCGGTCTTCAGGAGCTCAGAGGGTAGGCCCGTTTTGCGAAAGCCCCCTTGGGCAGCTTTGAGGATCGAACAAGGGCTGCCTGCCAAAAACACGCAGAGTGGAACGGGTTGTTCATAGGCCGCTGATACCAGCTACCTGGGCATTTAACCAATAATTATTGGATGACTCTTGACTCGTCATCTTCGACCTTAAAAACTCAAGCCCCTAAGACATGTATTAACATCCCTATTGCCTAACCCCCTCAAGCCCTTAAGACATCCATTAACATCCCTATTACCTACCCCCTCAAGCCCTTAAGATATGTATTAATATCCCTATTAAAACCCTAAACCCTAAACCCTAAAACCTCAAATACTCCTCTTCCGATTCCTGCAACAAAGCCTCCCGCTCCGAGCCGCAGGACCAGCGATTCATGCTGCACAAGGCTCGCTGCGCGGTGAAGGGTTTAGGGGCTGAGGATGTACAGGGTCTCAGGGTTTAGGCTTTATATGTATGTCTGTATGTAATGTATATATGTATATATGTATGTATGTATGTATGTATGTATGTATGTACTTGTGTATTTGTATATAGATATAGATATAGATATAGAGTCTCAGGGTTTCAGGCCTATACGGTCTCAGAGTGTTTTAAGCGTATGGGGCGATGAGCCGTATAACTAGTCCTCGTTCAACTGCGAAATCTGGGCCGCTGGGGTCTCTCGTGTCTGCGACATGGTCTGTCGAACAAATCGTAAGGCCTTCTGTCAAGTCGGATCGAAAACCTTCAACAAAATTCTAGATGAATCTGCAATACAGATGGGGTGTGTTGCAAAAGGTAAAAAGTCCAAGAGTGCCACACAGCAAACTCATCTACTTGATGCGCTACCTCACCTTGAAAGCTCCCTCTTCCCTGTCTAAGGGTTCAACTGCTCAAGCAGAATGACTTCGGCCAGACAGGATGTCCTGCTTGGTACCTGTGGGCACTATACACTAGATGAGTCCCTCAGCCCCATCTTTAAACCCTACACCAATAATTTAGGGTTTAGGACTTGGGGTTTAGGGTTTAAAGGTTTAACAGTTTAGGGTTTAGGTTTTAGAAGTCTTATATAAACCCTAAGCCTGGTGCCCTACATTTTCTACTGTTCAACCCTGCCAGGCCATGCTGAGGGAGAAGGTAGGCAAACGAGTGGATGCCGCCGATGTGGACTTCAGCGCCTTTGGCTCTTTGCACTTCTGGATCGAGGACCGAGCTTATCATCGAGGCCCTAATTATTATCGATACTACTATTTTGCGGGTTCCTTGTTTATAGATATAGCATAATATAATATATCCCAAAACTCTATGCTAATTATTAAGGCCTCTACATTAATTCGGTTCTTGGGTTTAGGGCAGTACAAGTTCTATAGAGCTTATCGGGGCATACATACCAGCAGACCCGTGGATCCCGAGACTTTATAAACCCTAAACCCCCTGAATCTGAGTCTATGGAAGGTTGGAGGCTTCAAGCGGAGCCCGCAGAGGTCTTTGTAAGATCTGTTGACGGAAAGCCCCAGCTCTTGCTGTAACAAGGCCAAGCTAAACCCTAAACCCAAGGCCATAGATTTCGATGCGGGGGGGGGGTTCTGCCTCCTTGTTGCGAGAGGACCGAGGTTTCGGTTCGGAGGTGAACAACCTTGTCTCGGCAGCGATCGCCTGTGAGGCGGATCGCGGGCTTCCGGGTTCTGGCTCTTTAGGGTTTATGAGGGGACTCTGGGGCTTCTGAGGTTTAGGGCTTTAAAGGGGACTCTTAGGGGCTTCTGAGTTCGGTTTAGTATTTAGGGGCTTCTTTGTTCTGGCTCCCAGGGGCCCAAATCTTTGCTTTGGCCAAAACCCTAGCTTTTGGTTTGGCCGTAGAACGGTCCGCGTGGGTGAGTCGGGTGTAGGACTCGGGGCTCAGGGTTTGGAACCCTCAACCCTGAACCCCTGAACCCTAAATGCTAAACCCTAAACCCTACAGAAAAGGCCCTCAAAAAACAAAACCTAAACCCTAAACCCCTTGCCCTTCAGGATCGTAAGCTTCAGAACCAAGGCCTTTTGTGGTCCTCTGGAGTTGTTCTCTACTGGGGCTTCCTGCTTCTCGAGCCTCACCCCCGACCCCAGAGAATACTTCTAAAGCCTCAGCAGCCCCCCAAATCCCGAAGTTTTAAAGGGTTTAGGGTTTGTAAGTTATAGTGTAGTATAGTATATTATAATAGTGTATTAATAGTATATTATAGTATATTATAGTATAAATTTTATAGTATATTATAGTAAGGATGCCCGGCAGCTTGCCCTTCTCCAAGCCAGTACAACAAAAAACAGGCAGCGACAGCGAACTTCAAAACGCCATACTGAGCCAATAAATTCTTGATGCCAGGAGTTTGGCCTCCACTGCGTCGTCGAGGATGAAGTCTGGAATTCCGGGCGCCTACACACTTATCTCCAGGTTTCGCTGGATCTGCAGCTGTTGCAGTCAAGAGCTGGGGAAAATCGGGCCCGAAGTCCACACCCCACCCTGAACCCTAAAAACCCTAAAAGCCTAAAACCTGAACCCGAAATCCTAAACCCTAACCAAGACCCAAACCCGCAGCCTTGAGCCCTAAAGATCCTCAAGTTCAAAGGCCTCATCTCGCTTTTGGGATTGGGTATCTTCAGTAGGCCACGCAAGCCTCTAGGCTCCATTAGGTCGGCAGAGTGAAGGGTTCAAGGATCGTGCGGTAATGTGCAGATGGGAGCATCATGGTTGCTTGCTCGGAGAAACTACATCATTACGCATGCATTTTTCAACAAGAGGATCTTAAAAAAGACTAGCGTCATTTACGGGAATCTTTCCTGCAGACAGAACCTTTGAACCCTGCTGCAGATATTTCCGACGCCAGAAGTAGAAATTCCCAGCATTGTGCTAGTATCGTGCTTACTACACCAGTGTCTCAGTGTTCATTTCACCCAGAGCCCATGTAACAGGCTTCACAAAGTCGACTCGAAGGTTCATGCCCTCAACGCGGAATATATGTGGGTTTGGGGTCCCTAATGTAGATTGCAATTTAGATCGGACGTGTTTATAACATCCCAACGAGCCTCATCATAATCGCACGAGCCAGAATAATGCCAGAAAAGACAATTGTGAAATGATTCTTGTTTATAAGCCGACTTGTACAGACATAGTTCATTGCTGAAGCAAGGTGTTTTTTTAAGCTCTAAGATGTTCCACAAGTTGTCGCAGTGTGTGTGATGTAGCGGCCAGGAAGCTAACTCCTGCAGAAATCCTCCAGAACCTCTCAAGACTGTCGCAAGAACCCGCTTCAATCAGCCAGGTAGTGTTTTTAAGGGCTGCACCTTGAAATTAAATGATCAAATCAGCACACAGTCCGCATGGAGCCATCAAGCAACCAGCAACTTTACGGCCGGCAGGCAGAGCCACTGATTCTCCGCCGGTGCCCTGACGAGGGCACCAGCCGCCACCGTCCTTTGGAGGTCTCAGGGGATTGTATAGGGATTTCAAGTTGTGGATTATTCATTGAGGATCAGGAAGGTTCAGGGGCTTTTCGGAGACTGTTGCGTTGCGCAGTGATGTGAAGATGTTAGGAGCTAGCATTTGGGTTGTGGAGCTTGGGCTGGGAGGTGTAGTATGTACCTGCAGTATCTTAGAGAAGGCAAGCTTTAGGTAAGAATAGCTTTGCAGTAGGGTTTTCAATGTACCACATCGACAGCGTATTCCACAAACCCATCTATTCTGAGTCAGTTTAGTCCACATTGAGCCTTGGAAGTAGCTTGAAACCTCGACCCCTGCACCCTGAAGACCACAAGTCCGTCTTTCAAAAACCCTAGACCCTAAACCCTAAACCCCTAAACCCTGACCAAACAGCCTACCAGGCCCAGTAGCACTTTCTTTCAGGAGAAAGAACCGGTCCATGGTGTAAGCTTACTATGGTTGCAAAGCTTGGTCCCATTTGCGAGCGTCACAATTTAGGGTTTTAGGGAGGTTTAGGGCTGTTGGGCCATAGGGTTTAAGGTTTAGTTAGGGGAGTGTTCAATTTTGACGGAGGGGGTTTCTTCCCAGGGAACCTTGGATGCTGTCCGGGCACTTGAGCCACGACGAGTCCCGCAAAATTTCTGGCCAGCCATCGTACTTCCAAAGCCTCGTTTCTTCTCGTTAGCTCTCGAAGATACCTCTAACTCCCACATCCCTCACCTGCGACCCCCGCCCATCAAAATAAGTACACCCGGCTCGGACAGGTCCGCCGCGACCGCCGTGTCGCCACTCCAGGCCCATGGGATTTTTCACCTGCTGGGCGTATTGCGAACTGAGACACAGACAAAGGACTACAACCTGAAACCTTTACCCTGAGAGGCCAGAAAACCTGGATCCTTAGACAGAATACAATATACATATGTATATATATATATATATATTATATATATATGTATGTATAATCATTGTATAAATATACATGTATACCCTAAGCCCTCCAATTCTAAAGCCAAGAGTAGCACAGCCCGAAACCCTAAGACCGGCACTGTCGGGCCAGTGCTGCAATTCAAGGTTCCGTTTAGGCTTCTAAGGTTCAGGGCCGTTCAGGGTTTAGGGCTAGGCACATCCCCGGTTTTAGTCAGTTGCACATCCCAGGATGCCAACCTCATAAGCACGTATCCCGAAGTGCCATGCTTTGGGCGTTTGGGTTCTAAGGTTTCGGACAAAACTAAGGTGCCACATGTTATCCGTACAACCCCACCATCCTGAGCCCTAAACTAAGCCTTGAACCCCAAGCTATGAAACGAACCAGGACCCTTAAACCCTCAAAGTCTCAAGAACCCACATTCACTGTTCTGCAGGTTGGTTTGCTGTCTGCAAGCACGCCAAGGGTGTCTCTTTCGCCAAAAAGTGCCTTGACAGACCAGGTCGGCACGGTATTGAACTTCAGGCTTGGGCTTAACAGTGTAGGTCCGTGTAGGTCTTCAGCGTTTTATAGCATTGGTATTTGCATCCAGTTCAGATCATTGGAGCCATCCCCATGCAGCCTAGCCACCAAATGGCACTTAAGCCTACTTACTCTGGAGGTTTGAATAAGTTGTAGTCGCATCCCGAAACAATCGTGTTACAATAACATACAGCCTCCCCATAACACCTGAAAACCTTCACAGCCCAACAAACACGATAAACCCCTCAATTCTTATTTAAGGTCCAAGTTCATGCGGCGAGTTTGGCGATACACGACCGAGACCCGGAAGCGGATTGACAGGCCTCCCGTGCCATACTAGAAGGGATGTAGCACACTGTCACATCGAATAGAACAGGGTTCTTTCTCTTGTCATTGAGTTGAATTGGGGTTCATTACGGTTTGTACAGAAATCGATGATTGCGATCTTAGTAGTTGGAAAAGAATCTTGTGGTGTTGTATTAGAATTTATTGTGCTTCGAAGGGCCTTCCAGGGTCTTACGAATTAACGTTTGGATGGCATATCAGGAAAATCGGCTAGAGGAGCAAAAGCGTTTGGAAATGTCCTCCTCAGTAAACCCTACCTGGAGTCTAATGGGCCCATGTTTTCAGGGTTCCTTATTATGGTTTCCCTATACAAGTGCCTAAACAAAGGTAGGTTCGTTAGGGTCCCCGTACGCCTTGCAGCCAGGTTGAACGAAGAGCTGCGGTTGCCCCCGAAGTACATCGCGATGCAGGTTCGCCGGGGCGATAAGGTGGCAGGAAACCGCAAGGACCGGGGCGCCTCTGTCAGGGCGGGTTAACCAGAGGCTCTACGTCTTACGATAGTAGACCTCTAAACCCTACACACCCTAAAGTTTAATATAATTTATACTATAATCCCTGCAGCATAACAAATACATAAACATATATATATATATATATCCATCCCGATAAAGTAGAAATTGTGGCTGCATTGGTACTTGAACCCTTTGGGTTAGTTAGAGTCGAAGCTCGAGAAGAGAAAGGAGGGTCGGAGGGTTTAAGGACTTCAGGGCTTTGTATAGGGATGAGGAATTGGGTTCAGGGCTTAGGGATGAAAGATGTGGATTTGAAAGGGCCTTTTGAGTTCAGGGATTTACAAAGCATCCGCAACATCCGAAGATCCTCATGCTCCCGGGTGCAGCCTGGCGCAGATCTGACGCTGGAACCTTAGGTGGTGAATCCTGAACCGCGAACCTCCAAAACCGTAATGCTGGCGTCCAGGTTTGAGGGTAGTCAGGGAAGGTTCTAGGGCCTAGGGTTTAAGGTTCGTCTAGGGTCCAATTTTGGGGTAGTTGAATTTTTCTGCGGTGTATGGATCAGCGCCGTCGTGTCTTCGAGGAGAGCGTGCAGATCACGGGCATGGACTTCGCCAGGGAGGCGCAGAAACACCTCTCTTCAAGCTGTTCTGTTGTGGTCGTTTGCAGCTCGGCCTGTGTCTTGATGTGGGGCTCGGACAACTACTGTAACACCCGGAACCCTATATAAAACCCTATAAACCCTAAACCCTGAACCCTCAACCGGACCGTAATATCGGGAGGCACCTAGTGAATTTAGCGCTTCTTTCACGGATTGGGCCCATGTCAGGGCCCATGCTTTTTCTGAAACTCCCCAGTCCCATGAACCCCAAGCCCGATCGAAAGAAATCGGATAAGGGGTTTAGGGGGCCTGAAACTTACAGCCGAAGCCGTAACCCATCGACCGTAAGTTTCTAGACTGGAGCTCCTAAGACCCCCCGAAACCTCCCCAAAAAAAAGGACTTGAAAGTGAGAGCTGACTGAAACCTTCGAGGCCCAGCTTCGGAATCTCAAAGCCCTAAACCCTAAACCCTCAAACCCTCAAGCCCTAAAGCCCTGAACCCTAAACCCCAAACCCTAAACCCTAAGCCCCAAACCCCAAACCCTAACGCCCAAACCCCAAACCCGAAACCCTCAAGCCCTCAAGCCCTAAAGCCCTAGACCCCAACCCCCAAACCCTAAACCCTAAAACCCTAGTTCATAATCTCAAAAGCCCCTCGGGAGAGCTGACTGCTGGAGTCCGAGGCACCGACGACCTCACTGCCGCCGAGGCCCCGTGCTTCGCAGTGCTGTAGGGTTTTAAGGTAGGGCTATTTTGGGGGTTCCCTTATTATAGTTTCAAGGTAGGGGTCGAAATAATTTCTAGTACTATTTTCGGGGCTCCCTTATTGTAGTTTCAGTATAAGATATCCCAAAAAACCCTATCTACTTGTGAAGGCCCCTAGAGTAGGGATCCTCAACTATGGCTGCTGGGGCTTAAGAGCTTCGGTGTTTAGGGCTCAGGGGTCATAGACTTAGTGGTACGGGCCTTAAGGTTCCGGGATGCCTGTGACGTCTCAAAACACACTCCACAGCTGAACACCGGGACATCACTGCATCGGGCATGCCACGGGGCCCCAAAGGCAGCGGTCGAAAGTTGTAGATAATCTTTCTCACATTGCAATGATTAGTCATACTATTCCTGAGGGTTCCTTGCATTCCTCAGTAATTATCAGTATGTCATGATTTACCCCAAGACCCGGCTCTAGTCCTTGTATCAAATTCGGACTTCACTTTTCTGGGGTTTAGATCCCCTTGGCATCATGCTTTACAAACCCTGGGGATCTAACCACCGCGTAATCAGGTCTGCGATATGCCACAATGATCTCATTATTTTCAAGGCCAGGCCCCTGCAGCATACATATATATATATAACATAATATATATATTATATAATGTGTATGTATATATATATATACACACATACATACATATATATATATGTCTATCATGTGCAGACATACATATATATATATACGCACACATTCATACACACAAACTTTACATATATGTAAAATGTGTATCGGAAGGGATAAGGTTCAGGACGTTCGGCCAATAGTCCCTTAGCCTGAAGCTCCAACCCTGAACAGCCACCCCAGGGACCCCAACGCCGTAAACCCCACAGCATAGATTGCTTAGGGCTTGCTTTATTTAAAGTGTCACTGCCTGCAAAAAACCCGAATATTACGAATCTAGAATGACCTACCAAAAAGTAGATTCTGGTTCGCTCGGGCAGGGTTTAGGATAGACCCTCCCGCAGAGTTTAGGATAGACCCTCCCGCAAGTCCTATGTCTGAACATGACCCCAGCACGGCTTGAGCAGGAAGTGGGCCGTGCCCTGCGTTCGCTCGGCTCTCCCGCAGAGGCCACGGAAGGGATGCAGCAACATTTAGGCCTTCTCGACTTCGGCGCACAGCGTGGTAAAAGAGAGCTTTAAGATACAAGCCTTTCACGCCTTGTGGTTCACCCATACTGACATATAATGACCTGTTGTAGTACATACTATAGTTTGTTATTGGTTATTGTCATTGTTGTTGTACATATTATTGTTATCATAACTCATATTATTATCATCGTTGTTACAGTAGCCCTTGATATATAGTGAACTTAAGCCCCAAGCCTAGAATTCTTACCAGGTCCGCTGGCGTTCCCGCGCCGAAGTCCCCGCAAATCTGCGCAACGGCCACTGGCAGGCCCTCCGAAACTGCGAAGCAGCAAGAGAACCGGTGGATCCCTATATGGACTACAACTCATAAATCCCCTTCCAACAGTGTAAGCCCCCAAGACTGGGAGCCCTCAAAATCTTGAGTACCGTCAGTGTTGACATGGAGGGAGTTGGTACTGGTTTGGGATGTACTGTAGCCTCCACAGGGCTTGAAGGTCCCATGACCCTCGAAGTGCTAGGGCGACGGAAGGGCCTCTTACGGCTCTTTGATCGGGCTACAGAGGGCTTTACGGGTGTTTATAAAGCTTGAAGGCTGTGAAGAGAAGTCAAGCCAGAGCTCCTGAGTCCTGAAAACCACAGTCGCAACGCTTGTGTTTGGGACGCCTCGTGTCAGCCGCGACCAGCACATTGCGATACTGCAAGCTTTTTGCTACGATTAATGTGGCGGGCCGTTGGTTTCTAGAAATGAGTACTCTAAACTCTAAACCCTACAGTTAAGCCCTAAAAGCCGTAACAGTTGCGCTAGGCAAACTACAACGCCCTGTCAGCGAAGCAGCGGATTGAGATGACTCACGAGCTGCTTGCGGTTTGGGGTTTAGGGTTGTTATAAGCTTTGATCTCGGAATCGTATGATTGGTTTCAAGAGTGGAAGCAAGGATTGACATGCAACCATAGAAATGTTAATGTCTGCAAATAGTCTCAACCTTGAGGATTAAAGCTGTCTTGATAGCAAAGCGAAAAATCACACCGATACATGGCCGGTGAGGTTTTTTCAGTGGATTAATTTCAGTGTTGCGTTCTCGCAGCAGCAGATCGGATTTTTCGAGTGACTTGCGGAGGTATAGGTCTGATGTGACAAATGGGTTCAGGCTTCAAGGTTGGGGCTTCGGGCACAGTTAGACGTTGTGGGGGTTGCGGCTTTGGACTCCTGGACAGTTTGCATCAAGGCTTACGGTTTAGAGCTTTCAGTCGGTTTCAGGTCACGGCTTCGTGCGTAGCCCCCCAAAGGATCTGCTTCAAGATAAGTAATCGTTTGTTTGCTTGATGCTCTAGATCAGTTTCCAGGAATCTGAATCCAAGCATTTAAGCCTCCACGATTGGTCATAACTTTGCGGCACCGGGAACGAAAGGAAGTACACTGCCAAGCCTGCTAGGCTGCTACTCGTATCCATGATCACATCGGGAGCCGCAATCATAATCACCTAACAATCGCCTTGCAAGCATAGGTTCCTGGCGGATGTGGAGGTGCTGCGATGCGCGGAGGTGTGCCTTTGCACTTTCAGCAGCGGCTCGGCCTGCAACAGAGCTTAGGCCCGTTTCCCGCGGAAGCGGCTCGTGCCCCACCTTTCCGAGAGCCTGCTTTCCTCAAGGGTCCATGTGCCCAAATGGTATGTACTTTGACCCCAAAGTACCTAACATAGGGAGTACTTTCAACCTGCAGCGGGGGAATGAGTGAAGGTAAGGATCCCCGAGAAATTATGGCTTTAGCTTCGGAGTGAGCAGGTCATGAAGGACATGATCACCGAGTATACCCTAAACCCCTAAACTCCCTAAACCCTAGACCGTAAGCCCGAATCTGAAAGGCTCTGAACTCGGCCTAACTACAGCCGAAACCGGAAGTCTTGAACCTCGCGAACACGACACTCTACAACATACCCTGTCTCGGGCTTGCACAACTATGTATGAGCTTTAGACACGAAGAAAGCCAAGGACCGAAAGCGGTTTGTTTGAGGTTGGGATTATGGGATGCAGGATTTTGGGCTTGTGGTCTGGAGTTCGTGAGTCAACATAGACGCCTGAGTAATTCCAAAGCCCCACTCTGAATCACTGAATACTGCGGCCCCCGTATTTGGGCCTAGCAGGTGTCGAAAAGAGATGTGTGGGGTCTCGCACAATGTCATGTAGACCTCAAGAACCAAACAAGGGTTTCGGGGTATACTATGGGGATTATTGCTACGACCCCTATATAAGCCAAATTTGGATTGGAGGCAACGTGGGACGTCTCGTCGCCTTACTCCGCGACCAGCGAACAGTGAGCTTGGACATCACGGAGTGGACGAATGATTAGCTTTGGGAAAAGCGAGGAGGTCTTGCCAGCAATCTCAGAAAGCAACATGGGGTCCCTCCATTTGCTGACGGAATATGCAGACTTCTGAGTGTGGTTTATGGTATACAGCATAATCCGAGTGTGAAAGAGAACTACGAGGCACGCATTTTCGTTGTCCTGGCCCCTTGAAATTTACGAACAGTACGTCCTACGCCAGTGAGTGCTCTAGACCCCGAAACCGTATCCCTTATAGGCCTATAATTAGGTTTCATCAAACCCTAGGGCTCCAAGTATACAAATATTACCTACTTTGGGGTCTAAACTCTGTAAATAGTACCTACTTTGGGCTATTTGGAGCCCCAGGGAAAGGCCTGGGCCTCTAACCCCAGCTAAAGCCCTTGTAGGATCCTAATAGGCCCTACACTTTCAGACCGATTCCCTGCCGCAAGCGCGCCGCAGTCTTTACGGTTCCAAGGTGCCTCGAATAGGGGGTGAGTTTCTTAGATCGTGTCCACAACTTTTGAGACCATGACGACGACGTCCTCTGCGATGCACCTCGGCCCGGCCGATGGTGGTGGGGGGAGTCTGCCTGTGAGGGTTGAGGCGCTTAGGATGGGATGGTTTAGGTTTCGATGAAGAGTCCTACCTCCCTAAGCCCTATGTTGGAGGCAATGAGCCCGGCCGCCTATATCCTTACTCCGCAACTTCATCAAGAGTCAATGAGGCTCCTAGGACACCGAGGTCCAACAACATTGCTTGTGGCTTAGGGTTTCGCCTTCTAGCGCGACCAAAGTTATGCGTACGACTTCTTCAAACCATTGGTTTGCCTTCCGTGCTCCATGACCGCTTCATTCTATCACTCCTAAGGACCATGAGTCCAAAGACACGCTAAACCCTAAACCCACAAGCCTAAACCGTAACCCTAAACCCTCCGAGGCCTTACTATGCCAGCCACATAGCGCGGCAAGAGCGAGCCGCCGGCCCGGGATTCGTTGGGCAAGATGGGGGGACCGAAGACGGCTAAAGGCTTAGGGTTTAGGGTTTACCTGGACCCCAAATAACCTACCTTTTTAAGGACTTATATAAAGAAATCAGAATAAGGAGGTAGGTTTTTTATGGTTTAGGGCTGAGGGCTATAACCCAAAAACATTCCCTTGTTTGGAAGCTTACAGTCCACTTGGTGTCGATCCGAGCCCCGTAATTATAGGCTCCTAAGTAGTTCCTTTTTAGGGTTCATAACTAGAATCCTATAAGGTAATCCCACACAGGAACTACTAAGGAGCCTATGGGTAGTTATAAGCCATCAGAGGGTTGATAGGTTTGTCATCAGTTGGTCGGTTGAGCAGATCCAGTCTACTTGATTATCTACAGGCACACCAAGGCCGCCTGTATCAAAAGAGGTCTGCTTCAGATACCTCGAACCCTAACCCGGCACCCTAAACCACTTAATCATGCAAAATGTTTTCATACAGCATTGCCTAGTAATCTAGTACATACCAACATGAGTAAAACGGTCGATTTTGGTGTAGTTTGGTACAATGCAGTAAGGACGTTGCGGAAGAGTACAGCATAGTGTCCTCAGCCCCTAACCCCTAACCCTAAACCCTAAACCCTCAGCCCCAAGGCTGTTGACATGGAGATCCCGGAAGTGGGCATCGATGCACGCCATTGTGTGCGGATGGTCGAGGTGACTCGGGCGGCAGGTGTCAGAACGAATAGGGGGACATAGCTCTAGAGTCCTGAGCTGTTATGCTGGCCCATGTCCCCCCCCCCCGTTCCACCACGCCGAAGTTTGGCTAAGCTGGAATGCATCGAAAATCCGGCAAGACATTCCGCTATCGAGCAGCATCTTCTGTGCTGGTGTGTTGGTGATGAGGTGGGCGTGACTCCTAATGTAGAGGCCCCAAGCGTAAACAAGGACTCCAAGCGGGGATCCCTCATTTTCTGGATTCTGGAACACCACATAAACTATGTCATGTTGTGAAGGACTACCATCTATTGGACTTCTCCGAGCGCTTGAACACGAGCTCTTACGTAAATGTCGTCTTCGAGCCAGATTCTTGGACTCAAATGTCGAGACTGGTGGCTGGAGGTCAGTTTTCAGGGGGTTTTGGAATTGCGCTCATGGATGGCCATTTAGCAACGCCCTTGCCCATTTCGTGCGTTCTTCGGCCACCAGCCATGGAACACATAGTCCTATCGATGGCTGCCAAGATAGTAAACAATGCTACACCCAACACCATAATGCCCCGATTACCTACATCATCAAGCCTGTAATCCACAGGCCATGAAACCGTAAGCCCTACACCCTAAGCTCCCAAAGCCCCACACCCTGCACTGCAGTGCAGCTACTTCCGTGCATTGAGAGGTACAGCTGTTGTAACATGAAGCCGCTGGAGTCTTTGCTGGACAAGCCCAGGTCGTCATTCATAAGTCTGCCCCCAAGGCTGTCAGAGAAAGCTTCCTTCAGGGTGACCAAGTATCTGCTGCTTGAGTTTATGTGCCTTTCAGCAGCTATCTCCTAATTAGTCCCTAAGCCTGGGAAGCTGTGCTAGGAATTTCAGTCCGAGAACTGATGCGCCTTGGGTATCATTCAGAGCCGAAACGCTAAGCTCCGAAACGGGACCCAAGAATTCAAAATTCCCCAAGAACCAAAACGCTGAACTGTAAACCCTACCTGGACCCCCAATGTATGTAGAAAAAATAGCCTTTTTTTCGATGTTGGGCCATTGTTTTCCCTACATTTGGGGGTTTAGGTAAACCCCAAACCCTAAACCGCCAAGACCACAAAAACCGCGGAAAGGAAGAGGAGCGGGTGGCGTTGATGGGTCTGAAAGTGAACCTGGCCGACCAGACGGTCTATCCGGAGTCCTTCCGAATGTGGCCCGGATGAATCGGTTTAGGGTTAAGGGCCTACGGTTTAGGGTTTAGGGTTTAGGGAGTTAAACCGTTAAACCAGAGTTAAGGGTGATCATCCCGGTGATGATGGACATGCTGTCGGGCGAAGCTGTGTTTTTTTGGCGTTTTAGTGCACGGTTGTACTTTGGAAGCCTCTGGGTTCTCTCGTTTCGGTAGCCATTCCTTGACATTGGGATGGTCGCAGCGAAAGATTTTTGTTTCACCAACGCCTTGGCCTGAACTTAGGGTTGCAGGCATCAGGTTTTGGGTATTGTTTGGGGCCTTAGTAACTACCTATACTATGTTGGGGGCTCCTGATTACAATGATAGTACAATATGGCCCAAAGCCCTATTCTAATTATTCAACAACCCTAAATCCTAAACCCTAAGCCCAAAGCCTTGTTCCAATTATTCAAGCCCTACTACATGAGTCGCATGGACTTCTGGTGCTCAGCATTGCCCCCTAAACCCTAAACCCCTAAACCCCTAAGCCTTCAACCCCTAAACCCCTAAACCTAAACCCTTGAATCCTAAACCCCTAAACCCCTAAACCCTAAACCCCTAAACCCCTAAACCCTAAACCCCTAAACCCCTAAATCCTGAACCCCTAAGCCCTAAGCTGCAAGGAGTCAGGGTGTGGGAGTTGTGTAAGGCCTCTAGTCATGAGTTTAGTGTTTAGGGCTTTAGGGCTTTAGGAGATTAGGGTTTAGGGCTTTAGGGGTTTAGGGCTTAGGGCTTCCGGGGTTGAGGGGTTTAGGGTTTCGGGTTTAGGGCCTGAGGGTTTTGAACTTGCACGGTGCCCCGAACTCAGAAAAGCAAGCCGAAGTGTGAAGGTGTCCCTGTTGCATCAAGCGTTGCAGGAAAAGCTCGGAGCCCGAAGTCCTAAGCCCTAAACCCTTTCAGCCCTAATTGGCCGAGGCACAACGACACCCTGAACATGAGACTTGGCAATGACCAGCGCAGATCTGAGGTTTCAAAGGGATGATAGTACTGGTAGTGCTTGTGGTCCTGGTAATCGTCGTAGTGTCGTCGTAGTAGTAGTCGTCGTCGTCGTAGTAGTAGTAGTAGAAGTAACAGTAGTAGTGGAAGTCCTCCTCCTCGTCCCCTTACTCCTCCTCTTACGACTACTACTACGACGACGACTACTTCCTACAACAACTACTACTAAATCGATGAGAGGATCGCGAAGCTTTGGCACTGCCCTGTGCCGGATGACTTCGACTCCTACGGCTGTTACGCGGGCGCTGGCACTGTGGGCTCGACCGAGGCAAGCCGGTTTTGCTTAGAGGTTTATAGGGTTTAATTAGGGTTTGGGGTTTAGGGTTTAGGAGTTTAGGAGTTTAGGAAATACGGCTGTAGAGATGTCTGGTTCTGGTGGGTTAAGGTTCAGTTTTTGGGCCAAAGGGTTCGGCGTCAAAGCTTGGGGTGTATGATTTAGGGATGTTTAGGGCTCATAGGCTTTAGGAACGTGTGGGGTTGATAGGGCTTCAGGGTTCAGGGTTCAATGGTTATTCGGAGTTCGAAGCAAGTTTATCTGTTGGTTATAGGGGCTGCGGTTGAGGATTCGGACTTTACAGAGTCAAGTTTCGCTGTCACAACGGCGGGTATGAATGCCAGCATACCAATCAGGAGCATGATGCTGTTGATAAGGCAACTGTGATGCTGAGGTTCATGGTGCCTCTCGTTGCAACATGTTGCAACTATGTCAGTCGTGGCAAAATGATGACAGTGACGTAGTAGCAGTAGCACTGCTTGAACGGCACTCATGACGCGATGGCGGTGGTAGCGGTGAGAACAACCACAACCATGTTACGCACCTTACAAGGCCCTGCAAGCCTTAGACTCTTAGACCCCGAGCCAGCAAGCCTGATCTCCCTACAGGCTTGCCTCTTAGCGGGGCTGGCGTTGAAGTTCCGGTGGCGGAAGTGGTACGTAGCCGCCTCAGCCGTTGCACGCCCTCAACCCTGAACCTAAATCCTTAGACCATAGTCTAATTCAACATCATAACACCGGCAAGCTTATGGTCCCTACCAATTCTATATGTTTATATATGTTAGGGTTTATCACAAGAGTCTGAAAGGTAGGTTATTGCAGTGTAGGGTAAACCCGTATACTGCATCTTTCGGTTCCCTTTGTGATCGCCCATTGCTGTAGGCAGAGATGCCCAAATCTAACCATGCCAGATGCCCAAACGAGCGGCAACAGCCTTGAAAAGTTAACACCACCCCTTGTTTTTCAAGCCCTGCATGTATGCCGTACTATGTAGCTCATGCAACCGTAAAATACACGACAAGTACCATTACAAAAGTCAATAAGCTTGCGAGACTGACCGGTGATTTGTGCTGCAGACCTTCGCCAGGAGCTCAGCATTGGGGTTTCATTGTTGAGGGCTCGTTTAGGGATCCCTGCATCAAACATCCTCTCATTTTGGTAACTAGTTGGGCTCTAGTTGGGGTCGATTTTCTCGGAACGTCATGGTCGCACCGGCAGTCCCATGGTGTTGCCTTCCTCCTACAACTATCTCGACGATTCTACAGGCCAGTATCAGCTGTGCTGTCAACAGCCCACACATCTTTCTCGTGATTTCCCACTAGTAAGCTACCGTCGCAAATCTTTCCCGGTAGCCCAGGTCGGTGAGATTTCGTTTCAGTGTCTGTCCTTGTTAGTCCGTCAAGGCACAGAAGAACGGCATGAAAGAGCACGAAGTGCGGGGCGTCTATCCCAACTTGGCTTCTCGGCTGCACCTGCCGAAGTCTGAGGGTTTGGAGTTGCTGGTGCTTTGTTCATCATGGGGTTTAATTTCGGCTTCGTGTCTATTGCTGCAGGGGAGGAGTGGCAAATGGATACCAGCTCTGTCCTTTTTTCACCGTACCCCTAGCGCTTACTATAGGGGCCTTGACGATGAGACTAGGGTTTGCGGCTGCTGTTAGTTGAGGGGTGATTAAACCCGCGAGAGCATCTGTTAAAGTAGATGCATCCGTACTTTGAGAGCAATCGAAATCCTTTGTAAAACGATAGGACAAGAGTAAACAAGCACGATAACGGATGTTCATAACACAGCTCAGATCATACAGTCCCAAAGTCCTGTAAAACGATAAAAGAGCAAAAAACGAGAGCCATCTTAAGGGTGATGCAAGAGGGCCGGGGGTTTGCACGCACCCTCCTTTATACGATAGTTATCATAAAGAACCCTAAGACTAATAATATTGGTAAGTATTTAGGCTTCGGCATTGGGCCATCTTAGGACCTTAGAAGCCGTTAAGCAAGCAAAGTACTCAGGGAAGTCTATGACCAAGACAGCAGCATTAGGTAAGCCCGAAAGAGACATGATGCTACGATTGATGCCAAGCCCTAAGCTCTAAACCCTAAACTGATCAGTAGTGGTAGTCCGACTAAGCAGGGAGGAAAAGCCCTTAAAACAGCAACTGAACAGATCCTACTTTGCTGAAGGAGCTTTGGCTTTCTTCAACCACTCCACGTCCAGCAACGTTCGGACGCAACTCCTCCTATTCTAAGCTGCAACAATAGCAACATCAAAACCAACGACAACAACCAGAGCAACAACGACGACAACGACAACGACAACGACAACAACAACAACCA